CACAGCCATCTTATCATAATTAATTTAGAAATTTATTTGTTAGTCAATGGAAACATGAAAAGTTTAAATCGATTTTTCTCGAAAACGGACGGTCATGGAGAAAATAACGAAACCTTTTAAATATTATTTCAAAATGGCGAATTTTTGAAAGAAAAAAAAATAATAAAAATATCCAATACCCCCACCCAAACGAGCCGCTTGACTACGTTAAAAAATTCTTATTTACGAAATTTGATTGGTTGGATTCAAATAAATAAATGTACAGAATAATATCATTTAATAAAAATCTGTTTTGATTTTAATTAAAACGAGTATTTTTGGATTTAGGCTAAATCGTCAAAAATCATCTCTAGATTTCGAGGTTTCATTCTTTGAAGAGCATTTCTGGGTGTATAGTAAAATAATCTTTACAAATACCACACGCGAAGTGAGAATTTGCAAATTTAACTCAATATAATCATACCGAAATACCTAACGACTAACGTAAGGATTTTGTTTAGTCAAATATAGACGCATAATTTCAAAAGGAAACAACAAAATGTTCTTAAAACATTCTCACCTCTTGTGGCATTTATTACCCTTGATAAATTAAAAATGTTTACACTTATTTCTGATTTCTCTGACACCTTTTTATATTAATAGTATTAGGTATGATGTCTTTATAGGTATTATGCTAATCTACAGATTTTTTTACTACTAATAGGTACTCAAAAATTAAATAAATACCCATGATATCTATTTGATTCGTAGAAATTTTTATATTTTGGAACGATTTTTCCATTTCCAATTTATTTTGAAATTTCAAGTAGGTACCTACCTACCTCGTCTCGAGTCAAGTTGTCAAAATGAAATAGGTATTATTTAGCAGAAAATAGACGCTATCGTTCTGCCTAATTAAAAAGTGTAAAAATATTTAAAATATGTGAAAACTTTAGTGAAAGTAATGAAATGACCTACAGAGGTAGCAAATTTAATCAATCATGCAAAGTTATTAATTATTTAACTAGGTGATTTTTCACATTCGAGAAATGAAGGAATGACAATTTTTCACGTAAGTACCTACCTATCCAGTGTAGTAACCAAAATATTATCCGGCTTTGTTGACAAATAAAATTAAAATAATAGCCCCGATAATAAGGTTAGAAATATGTAAGTAATTAGGAAAATAATATTTTTTGTTCTCCTACCTGTCGTATTATTTTGTGAAGAAGCAATCCCGTTGGTCAATAAAAAGACCGCAAATCCAATTAAATAATCCAATGACATTTCGAAACGACCATAAACATACAGGAAAATATTATTTTAAATCATTGTCAAAAAACAAACACAGTTAACAGTTACTTAAATGTTTTCTTTAGTTTAATTTAGAATTCAACTGCACTAATCGAAAAACTAAGTTAAAAAGTTCATAACACCAAAAACACAATACTAACGAATTGTTTCGTTGATAAACACACACACATCGAGCGAATAGACTTACTGCTCCCACAAGCAACTCTTTTGCACTGACTAAGAGCCGGCAACGGCAACCATTCCGTTCGAAAATCTAACCACATTGGGCGATAATGCGGGAAGGTAACATATGGAACTCATAATATATAATCGACCAGCTAAATACTTAATATTTTTAACACTTGAAAATGTTGCAATAATGTCAACGGGCCGCACTTTAGAATTGTAACTCGCAGCAAAACTGAAAAGTCGTGATACAACGATTCTGACCGAGAAAATTTTCAGAAAGATATGTGAGAAGAAATCACGTGATCAAAACAAAGAACCTGTTGCTCGAGAATAACACAAGACGTTGATGCTGAAAATGGACCTTTGGCATGGGCGTAAACTCTGAAAGAGCGATGGGTAAAAATTATTAAATTTATTTATTAACATATTTTGCACAAATGACCCAACCTATTCCATAAAAATCGATTTTATAAATAATTACGAGAGAAATAATAAAAGCATTGTGGTTTTGTTAATATTTTAGAAAAACATTTTATATTTTTGTGGATTCGCGATTCAAATTAATTTTCGCGCGCCTGTCATTTGTCACCTTTAAGTAGGATGGTAGACCATGGGATGGTAGGATGTTTGTTTTGGGCGTAATATTGTATTTGTGATTTTTTAACTGTTTTTAATTAATAATGTTTTCGAGTTTGATTTAGTGTTAATTTAAATTTAGTTTCCGTGCTTTCGTCATAAATATAATAGGTATTTTCATGTATTACCGATGACTAATTTGAAGGAAATCTTCACCTATCTGGTTGCTAGACAAACATCTAGAAATATTTATTTACTGAACGCAGAACATGTTTTATTATGAGGTTTAAAGGATATTTCAGGTACCTACCTTACATTTATTATTGATGAGCTTAATTAAAAATCTTACTCTCCTTATTCTTATATCATAAAGTAAATGGTGTAGTACTTTCAATACATATAAACGGTAATAAAACTAGCAATGCAAATATTGCAGTTTGATTCTAGACAAAATTTTGCAAAATCTCAATAATATGAATTTGTAGATATCCTTTTTTCATAGGAACCGATATATTTGATTGCGACTATTTTTTTTTATCGTATCCTACCAAGTTTAAAATAATAAAAGTGGTATATTGTTAAATTAATAATTTTATTTGCAAATCTTAGTGATAGATGCATGCATTTTTTTGAATGCCTCCTAAAATAATTACGACGCCACTGACAGTTCGGCAATTTTCGGAAAATTAGTCGCTAAAAATTGTTCGCTAAGTTTATTGTTACATTTATTTGTGTTTGACCCTTTTATTGTTAATAAATTTAGGAGGAATTAAATAAAATTACTGATTAAGTATATGGAAATACTAATATTTGCAGATGACTCCTGCTACTTCGCAGGGAGGGCGGTGCCTCAGCGACCTCCCTCACCAGCCGCCCCTGATTGTAAGGAAGATAATCAGTTATCTGCAAACCCTCTGCGGTGATGTTAGCAGATGAGAGCCGTACTAGAAATGTGGTATACAAATAGGAAATTCTTAATTAGATTACTATATGAATCATGATTTTTTTCGACCTAGAGTTTTGGGGTCCATTGAATCCGTTTCGACTATTTTCGGGATGATGCCTGTGTGTGTGTGTCTACATACTCGATAACTCATGAACGGATAAAGATAAAAACACCAAATTTTAAACTTGCGGTGAGCCGACCCAGTAAACCACAAATGATCGGCATTCGCTCGGCCTGACACCGGCATGTACGGGAAGCCTAGTACTCGGATTGCCGTTGTCGGCGTTTCTTCTGAACCGGGTAACCGTACCATTTGACGTAATTTAGAAGTAGAAACCGCATATGGTCCATATTTGGCGTTCCAGACATGGGAAGTATCCTAATGGGCCGAATGCGGTTAATATTTGGCTAGCCGGGCATGGAAAGCATCGTAACGGGCGGAATTATATATACGAGTAGAACGGGCTGTCGACATTCGGCTGGGCGGACATGCCCTACCTGCCGAAGCCTCAGCCGTATATCGGGCCGAGTCCGGCATCCGACAAGCCTCCTTCAGCCCAGTTACGGTGCCGATAAACTGTGTTTATTGGGGATAGATTTTATGCATATTCGGAATATCTGGGGGTAATTTTATTGGAAGTAGTTTTTCTACTTTATGGAATACATTTGTTATTTTTGCTTAGAGAAGAAATTTCTTCAAAAAAAAAGATGCTTATGATGCTCTATGATTTTTGTTTTACACAAGATTTCCTTAAAATGGTCCGTATTCGAGATATTTGAGAAAAATTGCAATTTAGAATTTTGAAGATAATTCAAAAACGGATAAAGACAAAACCACCAAATTTATTCTTTAGCTTAAATTCAGCTATACAGAAGAGTTATGTGTTGGCACAACCAGGGTCGCCGAGAGCCAGGCCGGGTCCCAGGACAATTCTCAAGATCGGGCCCCGTGACAATTTTATAAAAAAATTCTCCTAAAGAGGAGTAAGTAAAGACTTAAATTTTCTCTAAAAAAAAAAGGTCTTAATGCAAAAACTTCTCCCCCACTACTTGAATTTTCTAAAATAAGGTCTTCAAACAAAAATTTTCCTCCTCTACTTGAATCTCTCTAAAAAAAAAAAAAAAATCCTAAAATGGTCCGTCCGTATTCGAGAAATTTCACAAAATGTAAAAAAAAAATATTTTTTATAAAAGTTGTTTGTAATATAATTTTTATCCTATACATAATTTCTCTAAAATGGACCTTATTCGAGATTTTTGAGAAAATGTGTAAATTTTGAATAAAACTCAAAAACGGATAAAGAAAAAAACATTAAATTTTAAACTTAAGTTTTATTTCGGCCTGACGTGAAATGATTAGATTTTGGACAAAGTCGGAACATCTGGGGGGGTACTTTATGGGAGGCCGTTTTTATATTTTATGGAGTATATCTGTTATTTATGTTTGGAGAAGAAAATTATTCCAATAAAAGTTACTTCTATTATTATCTATAATTTTTACTTTATGTTAAAATTTCCTGAAATGGTCCGTGTATTCGAGAAATTTGCCAAAATGTGCAAAATTCTGATTTTTATGAAAATTGTAGAACGAAAAGTTGTTTGCGATATCGATCTCTATAATTTTTGTTTATACATGATTTTTCTAAAATGGACCGTAATGGAAAAATTGTAGGAAAAGTGCTAAATTTAAATTTTTCAGTATTTTCGTTTTCAATGAATATCTATAGAAAAATGTACGTGGAAAATGTATATATTTAGTTTATCCTCTAAACATTTATAAAGGTGCTGCAATAGATTGTACAAAATAACCAGAAAAAGCCTATAATAACTAGATAGGAAAGTCATGTGTTGGACACATCAGATTTTTATAATAAAAACACGACTACACATGTACAAAGCCACTGGCATCAGCTAGTTATTAAAATAAAATTGGACCTAATTTCCTAATAATTAACAAGGGATTAATATAAAAAAAATTCTGAAAGAAAAATTGAGTAAGGAAATAAAATACCTACAATAAATCTTAAATTATATTACCCATTATAAAAATAATATGTACACTTTAATTAATATTACAATTTTAAAAAAATTACAAAGTTTTTTTAATAGGTTTTGGGGCCACACTAACTTTAATAGGTTTACATAAATCTAATAACGTCGGTGTGGATTCAGCAATTATTTTCTTCTTTCCAATATCTGCTTCAGGAATAGCCAAAGCAACATTGATTTCAACGTCACAAGCTTCCGACCAAACTTGGTGAGAAATTAACACAGATGTTAACAATCTAATATTAGAACCGACTTCGTTATCTTTTTCTGCAGCGTCATAGTATAAAGGTTTTAAATGAGCCGGTCTTGGCAAAATAATTTGCATTCGCTGATCAGGATATTTGATTTTAAGTCTTACTCTACCAGGATCTATCAAATGTTTTAATTCAGCTTCAAATGGTACTGACATTATTAATCCAGCTGTGAATTTTAAGGAAGTGTCTGTTCTGTTACTTGGTTCTAAAATTGCAGCTGTACTCATCCTTATATTTATATTCGGTGCAGGTATTTTTCTCATTTTAGCTTCAGACAAAATTGGAATCAAAATTCTAGAAACAGTGCCTGGTTTTGGTTCCTCTAATTGTGCTAATTCAGAAAAGACTAGAGCTGTAAAATGATTAGGTTGTAGCCCAGCTTGAGTTAGGTCCTTTTGCATGTCTTCCACTACAGTGAGAAAATGATGACAGGGTGCTAGGGCTGATGCATTACTACCTTTGACTATATAAACCAAATTTAAAGCTAAAGCTTGTAACCTTAACTGTTTCACTGCGCACTGCTCAACAGATCCAAGTCCAACAAAAAAGAACTGCAATTTCAGACAAAGTTGAAGCAAATTCTGGATGCTGGTCTTTAAATTATTTGACTGTTGGGTCGCTAAAGTGCTTGGATTAGCCCAAAATCCTTTCTCTAATATTTGAAGTATCTCTAGGTGAGCAGAAATGAAGAGGGCAGTGAATTGTGCAGTACCAGCTACTGTAGAATCCATTTCACTAAGTCTATTCAGGTGCTCTTTAGCAGTTTGGAGTAAAGAAACGTGAACTCTTATATTACTTTCTGCCAAATCAAGATTATTGATGACATTATTTAGGAAATTTAAACTTTCAGGTACTGACATCGGTCTGGATACAGAATTAAAATTGGAGTCTGGAAGATTCAGAATAGGGACATACTGGGTCATAGTGTCCCTTAAATAAAGATAATGTCTAAGAGTGTGGGGTTCAAGAAGTTGTATTATGGTTAGAGAATGCTGTGCTGCATTTAGAATTAAAATTAGAAGGCAGATATATTGGGCATTATCAACATCTGGTTCAGCAGTGTCAAAGAATGGATGGATATTTAAAAATTGCGGTACTAAAGGTAGTACCAATTCAGGATGTTGTGATCCTATTTTCTGGAGACACCTATATGTAGACCTTTTATCTTGTGGATATCTCTTCAAATTATCCAATAGTTTCTCGATGCACATCTTAAGACCTGCAGAAGTTGACATTTTACATGAAGACAGCATTCTATGTAAGCTTTCTCTGACCTCTTGACAAAAATCTTCTATTGCTCCCAGTATTGTTTCTAATTGATCATCTCTTAATATGATATGTTCTGATATTAGTCTCAAACTGTCTATAGCTTTTAGTCTAACATCTTCTATTTCATCATTGAACATATCAACCAAAAAATCCAAAGCCAGGTTTGCAAAGTGATGATTACTGATTGATAGTTGACACAATGAATCAACTGCTGCTGATCTCACTTCTAGAAACTCATCTTCTAATCCATGTACAAAAGCTCCACAGGCTCCACTGCTCATAAGACTAATACTGTCAGCATCTAAAACTTCTTTGGGTGCATCATCTGCCCACTTTTTTCCACTAGCCCATTCCCCACTAGTTACATTTTCCCAAGCTAATTCATGAGCTGTTCGTTTTCTTCTCATGTTAGACATGAGTTTTTTATCTAAAGTTTGACATAAGAATTTCGGGCTCACCAATTTCATAGACCCAAGTAATTCTACAGCTAACTTTCTAACATTCATAGACAGGTCTGCAACTCCATTGCAAATTTTTCCAAATGCATCATCAATAAGTCTGATTTCATGGTTGCTATCTGGTACTAAGATTTCATTTTCTGGATATACATTTCCAAAATACCCAATCAGTTTGAGAACAATATGTCTTACTATTTCATAATCATCTTTTAATCCTTCACAAACATTTATGTATATGTTGGGATTAATTTTAAAATTCCTTTCATATAAAGCTACAATAGTTGAAAATGCTTGACACCTAACTCTTGCATCATCATGATTAAAGTATGAACTGATCAAGTGAACTAACTTCTCTGTATTTTCATCTGATGTAAGAGGAGAATGTACCCCAATTATTTCTAAACATTTGCACTTAACAGAATGGCTGGTGTCCTTAAGATACAATTTAGCAACTTCTACAAGCTTCACGTGAAAAGCCGTAGCTGTA